CACGTGCTTGTAGACTGCAGCTTTCCCAGAGCAGAGCCACTGCATAATTTCATCCTGGCTATAGTAGGCAGTCCGGCTGCCAAGATTAGCAGACACGTAAATTATCAGAAAAACGGAATGAAGGTGTCAAACCTAATTCAAATTAGCCCTCTCTTAATGACTGTGAAGAGGTTTAGTAGTACTTAATTTATACTCAGAAGGCATCTTTAACCTAAAGTAAGAAAAGCCACAGGTCCTGAGCATCTACTAGAGGCCCCAAGGTCCATTCCAAGAGTGAAGTGGAGATATTACAAGTCAATAACCTCTTAAATGAGATGTGCCGTATGACCCATAGTCTGTATGTAGTTGATGCTGACAAGTATCTGGACTTATACCTCTCTGGTCTCATGCCAACCTATGGATATATTTAATCACTTACAAATGTTCAGATTTTTAAGGCCACAAGCGATTACGTTAAAAGTATTACAACCATCAAAACTGACCTTCTGGATACTTGTTCCATAGATTTTCACCAAGTGACTCAAATATTAAGGTGCCAAGTACTTTAAAGCTCTTAATCAGAAAATCACTGTACCAGAGCTGCAAATGCAGCTAGACCTACCAAGCTTTTACAGCATTCTCTACTTTATCACAGATTTTATTAATTGGCAATGGACATACAATTGCTTGTGACAGATCTGAGATAAAGGTCTGGAAATGTATTCTGAAAAGTCATCGTTTTCGCTCATTTTCGAATCACAGGGGATGGAGCACACTAACAGGTTCTCAGCTGCTAAACTTCTTTCCGTTTTTCCTTGCCTCACCCTGGAGTTCATGTCTGGGCACGTCAGGCTGCGATGCAGATTCTTGTTTGAATTTTCCATGACTCTGCAACTCTTACAACTCCCAGGAGCCTGTTTTCCTACAAGCCAGAGCAGTAGCAGCCTCTGGGAATGTCCCTTCTTACACATATAACAGTTGTGCATGCAAATATACACTAGGAAGATATACTTTGCAATTATGGTATTAATTTTTCTCTGGACAATAGGAAGACCAAGCCTTGAAAATGTAAATGCCTTTTTTTTTCCCCCTCTATTAAGGAGTTCTTTTTCTCTGGACAATAGGAAGACCAAGGCTTGAAATTTACAAAATGTAAATGCCTTTTTTTTCCCCCTCTATTAAGGAGTTTTTTAGGAGTTTATGTTTCACTGTTTAACAAACTGTGTGTGCTACACTAGAACTTGCTGAAAGGAAGAAATTGGAGAAGGCTAAAATGGGTAAGTTAAAGTTCATGCCCTAGACTTAGCATTACTTGTTATCTACTTCCCTACTGAAAAATAAAACCTGCTTTTTTTTTTCTTTTCCTTAAAAAATATTATTAAAAAATGAGTAGCTTTATAACTTATCACAACTGCATATGGGAGTTTTCCTTCTGTGACAACTCATTACCACGAGCAACCCGAGAAGTGAATCCTCCTCCACCAAAACAGGACAGGAATAATGCAGCAGCACGCCTGTCATTAGCATGACAAAAATAATTATCTTAAGAACAAATTCGATTTAAAAGGCAAAATTAATTACACTGCAAAGACAGATTTTTTTCTCAGTCACGATTTCAAGCTTGGAGCAACCCCCTTTCAAGTGTAAAACACCCTTGCAGAGCAGAAATCCTGTATTTTGACTATAGTGGATATTGACCCCCAAAACAGTATTTCCAGTATTTTTTAGCTAATAACACCTCATCTCTGTAACCAAGTGGAACAAGCTAAGGAGCAAGGGCAGGGTGACAGGAGCTGCAGCTGCAGGCTGGCCCAAACCCGGGCGGCGGCGGCAGCA